CTCGAACTTGTGACCTCCCTGCCTTATTCTCTAGAATGATAGGATTATGGGCATGTGGAACATAAATTTCTTTCTCTTTTTTTTTTTAAAATAAAGTTTGTGTTTTGATGTTTTGCCTGCATGTATGAGAGTGTCAGAAGCCCTGGAACTGGAGTTACAGACAAGTCTGAGCTGCCATGTGGGTGCTGAGAGTTGAACCTGGGTCCTCTGGAAGAGCAGCCAGTGCTCCCAGCTGCTGAGCCATCTCTCCAGCCCCCAAACAAATTTCTATAGTATGCAAATCATAAGCAGCTTCCAGTGCCGCTGAAAAGCTACTTTAAACAGGATTTTAAGGCGTACATATTCCATTCATGGATGTACCCTGCCGTTGCAACCATTTTCCCAAAGGCTGATGCCCACTCATTCAATAGGCATCAGTTGAGCCAGGTCCTGGAGATGCGCTTGTGAACACATGTTAAGTGGAACAGGGTTTTCCTTTTTAAAAGCGTGCGCATGAGGGACAGAGCCAGAGCCACGGAGCTCCTGTGCAGGTCAGAGGACGGCTTCACCAGCCCGTCCCACCTTGAAGCAGGGCCTCTGGTTTCTGCATTTGCCATGCTATGTGGTTCTCCTGTCAACACCTCCTGCCTCCGGAAGGATTATAGACGTCACTACATACAGGTTTCTACCTTGACTCTGAAGATTACATTTATGTTATCAGGCTTGCAAGAGCATTTGGCTTCTGAGCCACCTCCCGGGCCATACAACATTAATATGGGCAATCTTCATGCTGCTGTAATGAAATCCCAGTGTGGATGCCTAAAAGTGAAATTTCTACGATTCCAGTTTATGGCTTTTTTTTTTTTCTATCAGAGTCTTGCTTTTTTGCCTAGGCTGCTCTTATGCCCCCAGACTTCCTGTCAGTCTTCTAAGCAGCAGAAACTTCTTACATGCCATCTGCCTTCTTGCAGCCTGCTAAAGTGATCTAGATGAGGAGAGGAGTACCTACCATCCCACCCAGCCGTTTGGGACACACCCTCGGGGAGGGCCCCATCCTGACCACGCCCCCTGCCATGGATCGCTTCCTATCTGGCATCAGTCTCATGGGTGCCCCCCACTTCTTTTCCTGGACTCCCAGCCAGTAATCAAGCTAGTTCAACCTCCTCCCTGGGTGCCCCCTCCCTTTCTGTCCTCCCAGCCAACAGTTAAGCCAGTTCAATCTCCTCCCGCCCCTCCATTCGGTGCTCTCCCCTCCTCTGCATCTGAACTTGGACACTTCCTTCTTATCAGGGCCTTCCTCCTGTCTTATCCGTAAGTAACAGGCCTGCCCCCTTCTGAGAACTGGGGTGATCCAGGCAATGGACGGAATGCTGAGCTACCCCCAGCTAGGCAGGTGGCAAGTCTCCAGCACCCATTCAGCCATGCCTTATTTTATTACATGGGTATCATGTTTATAACACACAAATTAGTAATTAGGTTCCATTCCTCCATACCTTGTTTTATTACGTGGGTATCCGTGTTTATAACACACAAAAATTAGTAATTAGGTTCAGTAGGGAAGCTGTCCTATTTTTGTTTTCTTTCACGGAGTCTGCAGTGGCTCTCCATTAACCAGCACCCCTACCCGGGGTCTTCAGTGTCACCACCTAAGGAACCAGTATGACATTTTTGGAAAATAGCGCTAGCTATGTTTCTTTTTCCTGCACAGTGAGGCACATCTAAAATTGATTTTTCTAACCCTGATGTTTTTGCAAGAACAATTCAGGGAGAAGCCGTGACCGGTCGTGCAGATCTTGTGATTGAAGCACTCGGTGGCCAAGGCAGGAAGATTGAGAGTTCAGAACAGTCTGGAATATACGATAAAAAAAACTATCTCAAAAAATGAATTAAAATTCCAATTTACTGTTGGAGGGCTGTCGATTAGCTCAGCCGGTATCGTGCTTGAAGGACTTGGCTCCCTCCCCATTCTGCATAACCAAGTGAGATAGTGCAATCCCAGCAACCCCAGCACTTGGGAGAGAGGCAGAAAGACCAGAAGTTCAGGGTCATCCTTGGCTAGCAAACAAAAAGATGTATTAGTAGACAACACTGTTTCATACTCAGAACAGACTAAAATAAACTACTGTAGAGAAACTTTTTATCTCTGGATTTCATTTGCTTCTTTGAGACAGGGTTTCTTTGTGTAGCCTTGGCTGTCCTGGAACTAACTCTGTAGACCAGGCTGGCCTCAAATTCAGTATCTCTGGGTTTTTAACCATCTCACACAAACCAACTGCTAAGTCTCAACCCCTGGGACAAATGGCTGAGGTGCCTATTTAACATCAAAGCAGACCTGACCGCCAGGTTCTCCAGCGTCCCTCAGTCCTACTGCTTACCGGGAATGGCTGGCCTGTCACCTCACTGCACTCACCCAGCTCACTCCCACCCGCCCTCCCTCTACCCGGAGCGCTCCACCCCAGGGACAGAGGCCCTCCCCTATGTAATTCAGCCATTTTGGTTACTGATCTGGTCTACCTTCTGTTTGACTGCTGCGCCTGGTTCCCCTCTCTTACCCCCCCTTCCCCCCTCACCTCACGTGCCTCAGGGGCCTGCCCACTCTGGACGCTCCCAGACATCTCTGGCTCTGCTCTCTTTTTTATCTACAATAAACTCTCCCCTCCACCACACGCAGGAGCACTCCTGTCTTTTCCTTTTTATTTCTTTTTTTCATTCACTATGCGCAGCATGGCTAAGTATGTATATTAAAAAATTACCAGAGTGAACTGGGTGGTGGCCGCACATGCCTTCAGTCCAGCACTTGGGAGGCAGAGGCAGGCGGATCTCTGAATCTGAGGACAGCCCGGTCTACAGGGTGAGTTTCAGGACAGGCATGGCTACACAGAGAAACCCTGTCTCAAATAAAAAGGACTGACCTCTAACAATATGATATATATGTGTATGTATGTGTATGCATGTATGTATGTATGTATGTGTATAAGGTTCCTCTCCTTGAACATGACCAGGTTTAGGCTGTGCAGGGTGCAGAGTAGAAGTTCACACAACCCTCCCTGCCTTCTGCTTCCCTCCTCTGCCTCCCCGACTCCCTTCTTTTGAAAGATTTTTTATATTGTTACTTATGTGAGAGAGCACTCCTGCCATGGTGTATATGTGGAAGTCAGAGGACAGCTTTGAGCACTGATTTTCTCCTCTCACAACGCCTTCCAGGGATCCAACTCAGGGCCTCAGGCTTGACGGCAAGCACCTTTACCCAGTGAGCCATCCCACTGGCTGGCTCTATTTATTTATTTTTCTTTTTATTTCATTAGCATACCACCATGCCCAGCTGTTATTTTATTGTGCGTTTACATTGTCTAAGGATGAAACCTGGGGCTTTGTGTATGTTAGGCAAGTGATCACCACTGAGCAACAGCACCTAGCTCTAGTTCATTTAGTTTTTGCAAGTGAAAAAAACATAGAATTATCTCCAAGAGGCTGAGGCAAAAGAAAAAAGTCTGAGGCAGGAAGACCGAATATTCAAGGTCAGCCTAGGCTATATAACATAGGACTCTGCCTCCAAAGCCTATACAAACAAATACAAAATTGAAAAATTAAAAAGTCCCACTTCTAATGGGATTTGGCTTCCTGTCTGTATTTGTTTCCTTCTCTCAAGAAATAGAGTTTTGTGATTTTTCCTGTAGAAATGTAAAAGAAAAATCTGCTCATACAATAAGAAAATACAGGCAAACCAAAGATTCTGGCAGGTTCTGCTTAACCACGGAAAGGGCCCAATCCTCGGCCCACCGGCTCCCAGAGCAATGCCAGTTCATTTGCAAGTTCGGGTTCAGAGCGCCCCCTGGTGTTAATGCGCTAGAGATGACTGTAGACTCCAGTCACAAAGGCACAAACAAAACCAAACTGAAAAAGTGTAATTATACTCTGTCTTACTCTTACCAAGGATTCTGCTGTTCTCATTGCCCAACTGTGGGAAGAATGCTTATAAAAATTCTTTTGATTAATGTGTGTGGGTAATTTGTATGTATGTATATCTGTGCACCCCATGCATGTCCAGTACCCATGGAGGCCAAAAGACGGTGTTGGGTCCTATGGAAATGTAGTTACAGACAGTTGTGAGCTGCCATCTGGGTGTTGGAAATCGAACTCGGATCCTCTGGAAGATCCTGAAGTATGTGGGGTTTTTTTTTTTTTTGCTTGTCTAGTACATAAACAATGACATCTCAGTTACTGTAGCCAGGACTCAAGGGCCAGTCTCCGTGCGTTAGTTACAGGATTTATCTATCTATCTATCTATCTATCTATCTATCTATCTATCTATCTATCTATCTATCTATTTGTGTTTTTGAGATGAGGTTTCTCTTTATAACAGCCCTGGCTGTCTTGGAGCTTGCTTTGTAGACCAGGCTGGCTTTGAACTCACAGAGATCCTCCTGCCTCTGCCTCCTGAGTGCTGGGATTAAAGATGAGCATCACCACCATGCCTAGCTTTAGACACCAGGAATTAAGTGATACATGTGCTATACCCATGCTATTGCCTAGCCCAGGAAATGCTCACTCGCCACACAACCATCACCCCCATCTCCATTGCAAGGGTCAAAGTACTTTCTAAAGAGGAAATTTATATAATTGTTCAAAATAATATTTTTTAATGAGAGTTGTATGGGGAAGTTTTCAAGCTTCCAAAACTGGGAATCTTTGATTGTCCCCTTATCTTCCTTTTGGTTTTATTTTTGTTTGTTTGTTTGTTTTTTGAGACAGGTTTTCTTTGTTTGACAGCTCTAGCTGTTCTGGAATCCACTTTGTAGACCAGGCTGGCCTTGAACTCCCAGAGATCCACCTGCCTCTGCCTCCCAAGTAGAGTGCTGGGACTAAAAGCGTGTGCCACCACTGCCCACCTTTATTTTGTTGTTTGGTTGATTGGTTTTCATCCCCTTATCTTCTAATCATGTTGCTATCATTCCCCATCATTGTCTTTGAGCGAAGAGTACTAGAAATGGCGCAGAGACACACAGAGTGAAACATCACTGTAGTTTTGTTTCTTCAGATAATGTATGTTCAATTGGTTTTTGCTAAATGCAAAACACGAGAAGCATCATGTTAATACACATACTTTCTCATGGTACTTCTCTAAGAGGGAGGGGGAACGCTAAGCACACTGAGGTCATGCTGACACTGTAATAGCACATAATGCTAGGGCCTGTCTGTTCCCGGGGCAGTGAAGTCTTAGAGCTGGAGCCAGCGCTCCTTTCCAAGCCAACGCTTTCTGCATTGCCTTGAGACCCTGCTTGTGGTCAGCTCCAAAAACTAAGTGTTTGATTTCCTGACCAGTATCCCAACCCAAAGCTCTCCATCCTCCCTCCTCTTAGTGCTCAGAACGAAGACTGCAATGTAGGTTTTGTTGTTGTTTAGGGTTTTTGTCATTTTTGTTGTTGTATTGTTTTTTGTTTGTTTGTTTGTTTTTTGAGACAGGGTTTCTCTGTGTAGCCCTGGCTGTCCTGGAACTCACTCTGCAGACCAGGCTGGCCTCGAACTCATACATCCTTCTGCCTCTGTCTCCCGAGTGCTGGCGTTAAAGGCATGGACCACCACTGCCTGGCAGCAGTGTGGTTTTACACGTCTAGAATGGGCTGAACATGACAGTGTGTGCCTTTGATTCATCACTTGGGAGGCAGACAGGTTGAGGCCATCCTGAGATACATACTAAATCCCTGTCCCAAAAGAAATAAAAAGGTCTAGAATGCCCTAGTATTGAGAAGGCTCTTTGCCAGATACCCTCCTGTCTAGGGCTCACTGAGACTTTTCTGTTTGCTTTGTTTTGTTTAAATGAATTCAAATATCACTACGTGACAAAGTAAATTGCTGATTCCCAGGTTCTCACCATAGGGTTTCGTTGCACAATTAGCTGAGAATTGGCCAGAAAACAGATTTAGCAGGCAACCTGTCCACTGCTTAGCCATGTCCTCTGCTAAGGTGTCCTAATGGAGGGACATTATTTACTCACGTAAGTGCTTAGACTGACCGATGATGGGCAAGGACGCCAAGACACAGAAGACTGTAGGGCAAAGGCGAAAGTGGGCACCAAGCTAGGATGAGTTAACTTACTAAGAGTGGCTACTTGGGGACTACAGACCTATCCCCCTGGGTATGAGCGCCCCATCGGAGGCACAGCTACATGTCTGCACCCTCATGTTGGGCAGGCTGACCACTTGGGGCTTGGTCCTGCCTCCCACCTTCATGCTGACAATCACGGGCAGGGAGGTCATCTCTGAGGCAACACACTGCCGTGGCCCCAGAAACGGCCACTGGATGGTCAGGGACTCTGGTGGCTGCAGGCAGCTGCCCACACACTCATAAACCAGGAACCCTGGGGGTTCAAGGATCCAGTTCTCTGCCCACTTCATCCCCTGCAGGTCAAGGTACATCTCTTGGCGACAGCATCGGGTGCCTTCAGTCACTGGGGTCTCAGGGTTACAATTGCCTTGAGCTCTGTGGGGATGAGAGATCAAAAGTCACCTGACAGAGTCAAGGTCAGGAGCCTCTGAGAAAGAGACTTACCACCCGTTTCTTAAGGTACTCAAAGAAAACATGTGAAGGATAAAGAACAATTAAAGAAACATGTCTAAAACATAAAGTCATTTACTGCTCACTAAGGGTTTCTCTGTGTAGCCCTGGCTGTCCTGGAACTTGCTCTGTAGACCAGGCTGGGCTCGAACTCTCAATTCTGCCTCCTCAGTGCTGGGATGCTGGGATTAAAGGCATAGGCCATCACTGCCCAGCAATTTTTTTAAAAAAATGTTTTTGTTTTTGTTTTTCGAGACAGGGTTTCTATGTGTAACAAGCCTGGCTGTCTTGGAACTGACTTTGTAGACCAGGCTGGCCTTGAACAACTAGAGATCTGCCTGCCTCTGCTTCCCAAGTGCTAGAATTAAAGGTGTGCTTTCCCACTGTCTGGCACAATAATTTTTGTTTTTTTTTTCTGAGACAGGGTTTCTCTGTCTGGAACTAGCTCTTATAGACCAGGCTGGTCTCCAAGTGCTTCTGCCTCCAAAGTGCTGGGATTAAAGCTGTGCTCCCCCACTGCCTGGCACATAAAAATATTTTTAACAACAGCAAAAAAAGTATACGCAGAGCAGCCGGTCAGTGGTGGTGCACACCTTTAGCAAATACAAATTTTTAAAGTATATGCTTAATAAGATATTTTTGTTTTGTTTTTAGTATTTTTGGATCCATGATTACTGAACCCAATTTAAGGACCCCAGATGCACAGGGCTATGCAATCCTTGTCTGCTCCAAATATAGCTACCTTGTCCGTTGGGGAAAAAAAAGAATCCAAATTTAGAATAACTCAAGCTAAAATTTTCAAAGACTTATACATGAAAGGAAGAGTGGAAATAGATTGTTTCAATAGTGTGTAATTCAATATTTGACTACTAATATACTGTTTCTAAATGCACCACTAGAAACTACTATGGGGGAATGGGTCATCTCCTGGGGTTGCCTAAACAGCCCACCCCTAAGCCGGCCCAAGATACAAGGAAAGGATGACTGTATGCCCAGCTCCCGCCTACCCGTAATCCTTGAGGTCCAGCGTATGCAGCTCCAGCTGTGGCTCGCCCCGCCCCTCTCTGCCCGGAGTCCCTTGCTCTGCAAAGCGAACCAACTTGTGTGCGCTCCAGGTCCCTGGGCCCAGGTGCTCCCTCTGCACCGACACCTGCAGCAGCAGTGGCTGCCTTGGCCGGTTCAGCTGCTGCCAGAAATTCACAGCCTCGGTCACGTCGAAGGCCTTCCAGCCGCTCTCGTGGATGGACACGAGCCTGAAACACAGCTGAGCGTCAGGCGAGGGGACTAGCAGGCTGTCACGGAGGCCCGGGACGGGTCTCCCGTCCCGTCCTGTCTCCACTTTATCCTTTGCTCCCCTCCCCTACCAGGGCCGAACCTAGCTCCCCAATTCCCCCAACACACACACACACACACACACACACACACACACACGCATGCACGCGCACACACACACACACACATGCACGCACACGTGCGTAGCTGGAGTCACACTACCTGGAGTCGATGAGAGCGGTGCGGTTGGAGCCATCCTCACGAACTCTCAGCCACTCAATGGTGACCCGAGCCCGGGCACTATGTGGGGACAGCCTCTCGTGCCTCCGGAGAGCAGTTCTGGGGACTGGCTCCTGGAAGAGCCGCAGCACCGCCTGCACCAGCTCGCAATTAGGCAACAGCCGCTGCTCCATGCCGAACACTAGCAAGTGTTTGGAGGTCTCCGACACCAGGAACCTGCCTGCCACCTCTGTGGACACAGATGGAGTCAGCCGGGCTTCTACAAGAACCATGAGACCTCTAGGATAGCAGGGCCACACTGTGCAGGGACTTGGCTGGGACAGAGCCTCCCCCATTCTGTGCCTCCGGTACAAAGCCAGTTATTTAAAATCTCCAGGGAAAACCTGTTCACTAACCCTCCACAACCAGCACAGAGAGCTCCGGGATCCAGTGCTCATGGAGCCCTAGAGGATTGGGTCCTCACAGGCACCAGGCCTTGAGCTATGTCTTGAGGACTGATGCTGTTCCTCAGGGTAGAGGCTGCCATCTGGGCCCCTGCTTCTCAACAACTGGCTACCTCCAGGCTCAGGGTGCTGATCTGTTTTTAACCCAATGCAGCTTCAACCAGTCACTTACTCCCACGTTCATAATACAAAACACAACTGACTTCAATCCCAGATGGTCCTAGATGGTGACCCCAGGAAGCCATACTACTGCTTCTAGAACTGGGTCCTTGCTACACACTACCCACACCCCGAGACTCTGCTTTTCCATGTTCTCCTCCTCTTCCCTGGGTCTTGCCAATTACTCCAGCCTGATCTACCTCCTCCTGGCCCTGATAGTCCTCAATGCACAACCAGAGCCTGGAGCCTAGACCCAGCCACCATCCAAAGTCAAGTTTACATACTCCTGCTCCTCAGACTAAGGCACTACCCACCCCCAAACGCACACAAAGGAAGGGTCCACTGACATCACCAGAGTGGGTATGGTCAACCTGCCCTCCCCAGAGACCAGGACCAGCAGGAAGAGCTCACCTCTGAAGTTCTGGCTGAACCTCTTGCCTCGGGAGCGGTCACCGTGACTTCGATGCAGCAGGGAGACGTACTGGGCCCTCACATGGGCAGGGATGGCCATTCCCTCCACATCCACCTTGTCCAGGACGGGAGCTTGCCTGAGCTGCAGCTGCTGCAGTAGTCTGAGCAGGACCTGCTCCTCAGTCACAGCTGCCCCACAGCCAGCCAGGGGGAGCACCCACAGTACCCAACAGAGCCACAAGGATTCCATGCTGCTGCCAGAAGGAACCGTTGGTATGTGCGTTCCTAAAGTGCCTCCGAACAGCTCTTGGGGTCTAGATGGACTGCTGAGCACTGGTGCTGGTCCTTCTTTATAGCTGGGCCTGGGGTGGGGGGGCAGGGAGGAAGGACAAGAAAGGTCACACCCCTGGGACCTCCTGGGAGCTCAACACCAGACAAGCCCCTGAGCCCTCAAGGAGGGGCTGTCTAGAAAGGGTAGAAATTGCTGTCTGGAAGACACACAGGCTGGGGTTTCTGGCTGTGGGGCCCCTGCCTCTCAATAATACTCTTCACGCCTGTTGGAGTTTTCTGATAGTATCACAGTTCTTTTTGTAGGAAAAAGAATTCCCAGGAACAGGAGAGTCACTTTCACCAGCTATTGAAATCTCCTGGTTTTTAAATAAATATATATACACTGTGTCACCTATGTAGGCCTGGCTGGGCTGAAACTTCTGGAAACAAGCCTAGGTCAGGCTGGCCCCAAACTTTGTGACAGCCATTCCCTCCTGCCTTTACCCCCTGGATGCTAGCACTGCAGGTGGGCATCACCATGCCAGACCTGTTTAAGTCCCTCCAAGACCGCTCCTGGAGGCCAGTCCAGGCCTAGGTTTGTCTGCGGAGAAGGAAAGAGGGAGCAGAGTAGTGTATTCCTGCTGGGTCTGGTCACTTTCACAGATATCTCAGAGTCAAAGGAACTCTGCATCTCAGTCAGTCCCCCCCACGGGTGCCCCAGGGCTCACCACAGTCCTCATGCCACCCTTCCCCCACGCCAGAGAAAGACGGGCACTGCTAACTAGAGACTTGGTGGCATAGTCTCCGGATACGTGAAGCTGCCCCATGCCTTGCTCTCAGGGTACCACAACACATGCGCCTCTGGACAGTAATTCTTTCTGGGAGGGTCCACCATACCCATTCCAGGAACTCTTAGGCTTTAGCCTTGCTCGTGGTCACAGAATGGGGGACAGAAACCTCCAAAACAGAGGCCAGATCTGCCCAGAGGCACATCCACAGGCCCAGGGCTGCTCCCCCTTCTTCTGGCTCCCATTAGAATAGCTTGGTAGGTGCTTGGCCTTCTAGGGACTTAACGACACTCATAACAGAATCTATTTCATAGTGCTGGCATGAAGAACAAATGAATGGACATAAGGTCTGGAGCTTATAAAGCGCCAGAGAAGGGTTTGCTCTCATCGCTGTCCCTTGGAAGGTGCGTTCTCAGCACTGTGACTTCTGTAAAGACGTCCGTGGGAGCAACGTGGAGCCTGGGATCGTAGCTCAATGGAGAGCTTGCTTACCCAATGCACGTGAAGTCCTAGGCTCAATACCCAGCGCTGCATTTGGGAGGTGGAGGCAGGAGAATCAGAAGTTCTTCAGCTACATAGCAAGTTTGAGACCAGCCTGGGATACACAAGCCCCTGTCTCAAAATAAATACGGAGCAGATACATGCATGCATGAATGCATACAGCAGCAGCAAACATTGCTTGAGTGTTCATGTGTGCCAGGCCCTGTTCCAAGCTGGGAGCATGGATCCACACAGCTCTCAGGAGGCAGAGTTTAGCCTCAAGTGCATCTTTCAGATACTGGTCAGATCACTACAGGACAAAGTCACCTGTCACAACGTTTGGTTAGTGGAGACCTTAGGACATGAATGCAGGCATCTGTCTCCCAAGGCCTCTTCTGGCTTAGAGATCTACGTGTGTGTAAAGGGAAACCCTTCCTGTAGCCTCCATTCTCATGGGAGGTAAGCAGTGACCATGGGGGAGACAAGGGCCAAAGGACCTGGTAGACGGGGTCACCTCTCTGCCTTCCCAGTGTGGGAACACTGGCCCCTGGGTGTGCCCTGTCTCCTGCTAGAACTTTCTGTCTTCCTCAGACATCCCTGATAGAAAATTCTCTTGGACTCAAGGGCAGAACTAACTCTGATAAGCCCCCAAACTGTCAACACACACACACACACACACACACACACACACACACACACGCACGCACGCATGCACACGCACGCACACACACGCACACACACACACACACACCAATTCTATCTGATAGGGGCAATAGTAAAACATTTGCCTAGCATTCACAAGTCCTTTGGTTTGAGCTCCACCACTGCAAAACAAAGGGAAAAAAAACCAATGATCTGCTAATAATCATAATGGCTAATAGAGCTTATAGGCTATGTATGCAGGATATATGTTTGCCTTGTTTATTTTGAGACAGGGCCTCACTATGTAGCCCAGACTAGCCTTGAACTCAAAGCCCTCCTCCCTCAACCTCCCTGGGGCTGCGACTGTAGGCACAACCTATCCTGCCTGGCACTGTTAACCCTTTATCCTCACAATAACCTGAGGGCAGATGGGAATGCTGCCATTATTATTTCTAGAGGAAGACACTGAGGCATACAACTATTACATAACTTGCCCAAGGGTAGACAGTGAGTACCAAGGGTAGGGTATTGAAGGGAATGACGTGGAGTTTGGCTCACATGACAGGCAGACTGAGATGAGAGGAAATATAAAAATCCTGACAGCTGGCCCCAGAGAGGGACGTGTCAGAGTCACAGAACGATGACTTCAGGGCTTCCCTGTCTCACTTTCCTCTCCCCTCCCACCTCTGTTTCTAAGGAAACGAGGTAATCCCCCAGAAGGAATTCAAATCTCATTTGGGGGCTGGGGCTAGCTCAGTGGTTAAGTGCTTGCCTAGCATCTGCAAGGTCCTGGGTTCCATTGCCACACCAGCAAAACAAAAAGGAAAACTAATCCCACTAGGAGCTCACATCTCCTAATCAGGGTCCCCTGAAATATAAGACCCCCACCCTGCATCCGGCCCAAAGGAGCCTTTGGTGATTGACAAACTCGGCCTCCTTCAAAAGGAACACCGGCTGCCTCCCTTTGCAAGTGATTAACAGGGAAGGGACTTGGGGATGCTAACATTTGGGGCTTTAGTCAGGACAAACGGCACGGAGGTGTCACATTTACAGGTGACCAGGACCCATGGTCCTTAGTCCCTGGAAGTTCTTCTGGGCTGGTGTCCCATAAATATGCAAGAGTCCACCACCTTGCCAATGGGTGACAGAAAACACAGTGGCTTATCGTAGCCGCGTTGGTGTCAAAGGTGTAACACCACCCGAAGCCCTGCTGTGGTTCAGTGAGACCTTCTGTCCCAGAGCCAAAGGACAGGCATCTGCTGCTGTCACCTTCCTGACTTGTAGATGTTCCAAGGCTTCTCTACTGCCACCTCATGGACACCTGGGGTCTGAGGGACCTCCAGGGCACCCCAAGTGACCAGGGTACCTCCCTCTACCCTTCAGCAACAGAATAACTAAGCTCTGGAAATGTCCATTCCCAGAGACGATAGTAGAAGGGGGACCCCTTCTCTGCTCCCCCAGAGGTCCTGTGGGGGCTTCAGCACAGGGACAGGGACAAGTTGGGAACTGGGCGCCCGTGTAGGACAGGAACTACTAGTCATTATTTTGTCTCTTTAAGGGCCCACAATAGGGGTTTTCAGTTTTCTGAGTCCCTCCTCGGCTTCGCAGAGGCTCTTTTTCTTGGTGTGTCTGCTGTGTGCGCCCGTTTCCTCATCCCCAGTAAATACCTTTCTTCAATTTAAAAAGAAAAGGACCCTGAGTACCTACCTGGGAGCCTCTTTAGGGACTTAGAATTCCTGGGAACTGGTGATGAAAAGGTCCTGGGCACACCTTGGGAAACAGAGCCCCCCTTCCCAACTTAGGGGACACTTCCTGAGATGGAGGAGCCTGGGGACATCTAGAACCAAGGCAAGACTGGTCCAGACTAGGCCATCCTCTTTCCCCTGCTGGTGTGTACTGCCAGACATCTCAAAGCTGACGCTGACTATCCGGACCATGCAGAGAAAACCAGCTCAAAGAGCCCACAGCTCCCCAGAGTCACACAGGATTGACACACAGTCAGATGTTCCAACTCGAAGGCCACAGTTCTTCCCACGCCTCAAACTATCTCTAGTGCCATCCATCAGCTGCCGGCCACTTGGGAACTCTGACAACCCTGATGGGGGCAGGGCGGCGTGAGAGGCTGAGGGAAAAACAGAGGGTCAATCTTCCAGACTCCGGAGGCTTCCCAAGACCCAGGCCAGGGCCCCTGGATGTGGATTCCCAGCAGCCCTGACAGTGCTGTTGGGGAAACACAGTAATTGGGCAATTAGCCAACAGTCCAAAGAAGGATGTTGATGTGGATTCGGAAACTTTTACAATGGGCAGATTGCTCGAGTCGGGGGGAGGGTAGCTACTTTTGTCATGCAAAGGCAAGGCCTCCCCCCTCATGTTGTGGATCTGAGTGGGACAGAGTGTCTGCGGGGAGGTCAGGTCAGGCTTGAAAAGCAGAAAGCTTGTCAAACAGCACCCTGGGTCCTGGAGAGCAGAGAACACTGCTTATAAAGCTCTGTCAATGAGACCTCTCTTCCAAAGATGTCCAAAGTGGGGACAGCCCAGCCTGTTTATGAACCAAATTCTTTGGGATGTTGAAGATGTACCCCCCACCCCGCCCGCCCCAAAGCCCTGCCCGTTGGAGCTTCTACTCTGTGGATGTTCTGAGTGATTGAAAAGTGCTGCGTAAAATTACAGATTCTTCAAGACACCACCAGTGAGCCTGTTCCTTAGGACTGAGACTCAAGCACCAGTCTCTCCCATCCTCTGGGGCCCAAAGTTCAGGTCAAGCTGCAATTCCACTCAGTAGGGCATCATGGAGCCTCCATGCAAGCCACTCCTGGGCTTCAGGGATGGCCCTGTGACTTCCCTGGGATCCAGCCCACACTTGTGTCACCTGTCACTTCCCACCAGGCAGGTTTGTTCCAGGAGTCACCTGAGACTTGTGGGCTCCGGTGCCTCAGCCTGGCCCTCTGCTTGGATTTCACGGGAGACAGGGTCCGGGAATCAGAAGCTAGAGAGTCTTCTGTTGGGGAAATAGGGTGGAGGGGACAGGGTGTGTCAAAGCAGGCCAGTGAGGCAAATGTATAAGTCAAATGAGACAGTTGGTACCATTCAGCTATACACAGCCAGCCCTCCCAGAGGATAACTATTCCTCGGCTTCCTATCTACCTATGATACGAAGAAATAAAATTGCCG